GGGGAGGGGAGGGGAGGGGAGGGGAGGGGAGGGGAGAGGAGAGGAGAAAGGCATATTTAAGCCAGTAGAGGTCAGTCCATTAGGGAAGATGCATGCATACCTGCTGAAATGCAGGGTGACTGTCCTTTCACTCAACACAAAAAGCCCCAGGTTCTTAGAAACCCAATAGGGCTGGACCGAGTTAGGTGGTAATGGCCAAAGTATGGAGTCTAGAGTTAGCTAGTAGAGAGAAAGCTTTTTACAAAAGAGGGACTGGAAGTGCAGGATGAACAGGCTACTACCAGCAGAAAGAGAAGCAGGGATAGGAGCATGTTCATGCTGGTAGAGCCAGAGGAGATGAAAGAGCAAGCAGCCATGGTGAGAAACAGACCAGGTCAAAGGAGCAGGTCAAGCCCCCAAGGGCCTTGCAGGAAGTGCAGAAGAGTTTGGATTTTGCTTTGAAGGTGATGGGAGCCACTGACAGTAAGGAGCCAATCACAAAATCATGTTTGTTTATCCATTTGTTTATGGGGAGCTTCGAAAGGCCTGGCTACTCTGAAACAATGGGCTCGAGGTATAGCCTATAAACCAGGCCAAAAGAGAAGGGGACTGAAGGTGTAGTTCAGTGGCAGTGCACTTGCCAACATGCAGGAAGCTCTGGGTTCAATTGCCAGGGAAAAAAAAAGATGGCTTAGAAAGCAAATTTCAGAACATTCAAAAAGTTAAACATGGGACTTGGACAGTGATGGGCTGTGGGGGTGCTATGTGCAAAGTGGTACAATTCATGTTTGTGAAAGGCATATTGAGTTTGGGGACAGCCTATTCAGGGTAGCTGTAGAATGGGAATCACAGCACTTAAGTAGCAGATATCAGCACATAAGAAGAGAAGCAGGCCAGCAGCAGGCCCTTGCATAGCATAAGTGGCCAAGGGGTATAGAGAGACCTCACAGTGGACCCCCGCCCCCCCAAAAAGAGTAACAGTCCTTTTCCAGACAAAGAATGTACTCTGGTTTTCAGTACAGAAAATAAGGCCCTTATCATAAGCATACCTAAGAACTGAACCAAATTCATCATGAAAATGTACCTACAATAAATTACTATTTATATAGGTCACTATCTGGGAAGAAAAGGAAAGGTTGGAGGTGGCGACAAACACTATACCACAGGTTGCTAAGCTACTGAATCAAATGAGAATGAGCGTCTCTCCATGGTGAAATCTAGGCTTTTAAAAATGTGCCCAAGAATGATGCAACCTTCATTAGTTACCATAGTGATGAGCTTCATTTCCCAAGGGACAATTGTTATTTTTGCCACCAGTGAAGTAACTGGGGTGGGGTGAATTCCTCTGTTTTGAAGATGAATTTCCAGGGAATATTTCCCTAATAGATCACACACTGCAACAGTTACACAAACAAAAAGAACCAGCCCCTAGCAATCTAGGAACTAACAGAAGTCCATGCAGTAGGATGCCATTCAGTGCAGGTTGTCAGGGTAGTTTTTGCAGTGAATGGTTTGAAGAGAAGAAGATGCTCCAAATTTAGAGAATGTTGCAGGGATTCTTAGAAAATATACTTGATTCACCCTCCAGCACATTTCTCCATTACTCAATTCTTCTGATTACTATGTTGTTCCTAATAAATGCATTCAAATCACATTTTGTAAGTAAACGAAAGCCAATCTTCTACAATACCTTGTGCGTCTTTGGTAGCTAGGCACCTCCACAGTGGACAGACAGAACTGTGCAGAAACTGCCAGCACAAGGACAGCCAGGGGTGTAAGCTACAGCAATTAGTCCCGGATACAACTGACAAAACTACTTTGCTGACTCACAGACACCTGGGTTTCTTTCTTCTCAAAATTGTCCCAACCCCACAATCAACAGCTGAAGAGGTGTGGCTGTTTTATCTCAACATCTTGGGCTTTTAATGTTTTGTTTTGTTTTTGTATTTTAGGGAAGGGTCTACAGGGTGTTCAGGGTCTCACTGCTAAATGGGACTCATACTGATCCACCTGTTTACAGCCTCCCAAGAGCTGGAATTACAGGTGCGCTCCACCACCGCCCAGTCTGGATCCCTGTCTCAGTGTGCCCCGGAGGCTGGCTGATAAGGCAGGCCCTAGGCGCTTAAATCCACTGAACTATTTGGCCCGACCTTTTTTTGTTTGTTTAATGGTACTCCTGCTGTACAAATATTTATAGCCCTGTGGGTCATTTTCAATCCTGTGCAGTTAGTGAGGTGTGCTGATGACAGCCATCTAGCCAGGCACGCTTATGTCAGCAGTCTCCCCTCTGTCTTTTTTTTTTTTTTTTTTGAGGGGGGGCAGGGTCTCACTATGTATTTCAGGCTAGCTTTGAACTCACTATGTAGTTGAGGCTGGTCTATTGCCTTTCTTTTATGTATTTATTTGACTTTTTGAAAAGCATCTCCTAGCTGGGAAAGGTGGTGCACAGCCGTCAGGAGGAAGACTCTAGTGATAACACTAGAGGAATAGTGAAGATTTAAACAATAATAAATGCTACTCCTACAGCCTGCTACAGAGCCAGGCAGTTGGACAGATACTTAGGAGAGACTTCATGCAGCAGTGCCTCGAGGGCTGCCTGGCTGCCTCTGCTCGGGATCTGCAGGTAAACGAACTGCTCTCTTTCCAGGGCAGTGGGTCACTCAGCCACAGTGGGAAGATTACCGTTTAATGAGTACAGTGGCTTTGAGACCAAAAAAAAAAAAAAAAAAAAAAAAATCTGAA